AGGAATGTCATTGCATTCTCTATTCTTATGTATACAACAATTTGCTACATGTGTAAGACAAGAATGGAAAGAATGTTCTACATTTAGTCCACCTGCAACAGTGGTACTGTTGCTTTTTTTAGTTCTTGAAGCTCTCCTATTTGCCATCTTTACAGTTGTAATGTTGGGGACACAATTGCAAGCAATTTGGAATGATGAAACTGTATGTATATAATGATAAATGAAGAACTTCAAAGAAATTATTTATTTATATCATTTTTTAAAGGGTATTGAGCAACTTAAAAAAGAAAAAGCCAGGTGGGTTCGTAATAGCAGGTGGAAATCCATTCAAGCTGTGTTTGGAAGATTTTCAATTGCTTGGTTTTCACCCTTTACATCACCTCCAAGGGGAAAGACAAAACAAGATTCTTATTTGTATTCCGTATAATATATTACCATGGTATGTGGTTGTATCCCAGGGATATTTAATATTTGTAAATGTAAAATAATTGTGATGTATTATGGATTCATGTGCAAGTGAATAGAATGTTTGTAATTTTATACTGTTATCTACCGTTCTTATTTTATTGCAACCGATTTTGGAAGGCACTTAAACAAAATGAACAACATTTAAAATATCTATATATATATATATTATAATTAAAATTTGTAAACTTGTAAGCATACAATAAAGTATGCTTCTTGTAAAGCTTCTTGTATTAAGATATTGGAATCATTGTTTCGCGGTAGTAACAACGCTAAGTTGCTTCCTGACTTATAATGCTGAAACTTACTATACTAGTATAATTTACATCGTGAAGGTAATATATATAACTATGCGGCTGTATTATATATGACAAGGAATATACAAAACATGACATTATGTTTACCATATCGTGAGTTTTAAGAGATTTGACAATTAATGGAATCGATGTTTTGCACTGTTTTAGACAATATACATTGCACATTGTAATAGTAATGTTCTACGTTTACGAACAATTTAGTTCATTTGTTTTGTTTTAAAAACTGAATGTAAATTTCTTTTTTAATTTATAATGTTTCGATTAAATGAGGTCAGGCATCCAGTAATTTGTAACAGCATTAACTTTTTGTAAGATACATGTTGTTTCTTTCGATTATGCATATCATAGTTTAATTATATTTTATTATTCTTCAATATTGTATTTCTACGATGATACCTGATTTTATTGTACAGTTTGTACAAATATAGTTTCTTACATTTATCTGTATTGTCTTTGTTTGCCTTTACAAAAATGATGCAATCTGTTATTTGTTCCCTTCACTTTAATCTCAGCACAATTATTTCATTTTAAAAAATAAATTCATGAAAAATGTATTTAGTGATCTCATCAAAATTTAAGATTTACCCATTTACAATTTTGTTGATTTTCATTTCTGCAGCCTTTGAAGCTGTTCTTAGTTTTTAGGGTGGGGGCACTTGGCAGTAGTAAGGTTGTTAAATGTATGCAGGTAGAGGAAACGTCTCTCTATACTGTTGTGTGCGATCGTCGGAGCTGCTTTCACTTTTGCTACGACTACGTTCGGTAAGTTGAAAACTCGTAGTTTAGCAATTTCTTTATGATAGAGAACTTTTTATAGTAGGCTTAATATCGCGATGTAAGTTCAATATAGAATTAATATGACCGTTTCATCCTTTTCTTTCTTCATGAGTAGTTTCAATTGTTACTGAGTACCAGAAAAGTGAAAGTAGAATTGGTAATTAGTTACGTTTAATTGAATTTAATCAATTATGCGTCAAAATACGTTAAATTTGGTTCAACTAGTTTCTCATCTATATTATCTACTTCCTATCATGTTTTGTAATTACTTTTATCCTATTAATAACTTTTTTTATTATAAATTTTTAGACAATTAAACAAAAAATATTTAATAAATAAGTTAAATATATTTTTACTTTTAATTATTAAGTATGTACAGTCAAATATTTTTAATCATATACAAAACATAAAAAGCCAGGCGAGTGTAACAAGAAGAAATACAAACCTGTTGCGTGCTCGCGAAATTAATGACGAATGAACGCGCGCAGTTTATGGTTACTCTTTTTATCAATGGCGTATACCGATTGAGGAGAAAATAAATAGAAAACGTATCACGCACAATCAGAATTTGATATTTTGAAACAACGATTCCCATTTATTTGGATGAATTAAACTGCAAAATAAGTCGATAAATTCGTGAAATTACCTAATTCGTGATCAGAGATGCAGATGCTTGCAATTACAAAGCTTTCTAATACATTAAAACTCGATTTACTCCGTTACATTGTATCGCGGTCGTATAATTAAAACGATTTCAACTATTTCAAATAATTTTAATTATTTGATGTATGATTTTTGTATTTTTCATAATTTCACGATACGGTTGAAATTTTCTTCGTTCCCTTTTTTACTTTATACACACTCGAAATGTTTTTTTATATTTCAGCATTTGGACAACGTAGAATAAAAATAAAAGCATGGGGGCAAACCCTTTTTCCTTCTTTATGGTACGTACGTTTACATCTATTATTTCAAAACATACTGCAAAATTTCAGTATTTCCAATAACTTATTTTGCAAATATCAAATTTAATAATGCTACTTGCAATTAGAATTGTCATGCATATATTTTTTTCTACATGCGTAATTTTTTCTTAGCAAATTGTAATCTTGGCAAAAATCATTCGAAGATCGCAAGGGAGATCATGTTAGTGAGTGTAAGCCATTGTGATTGTGACATTAGAAGTCAAGATCATATGAAGGTCATAAAAGTACAATGAGTGCCGAGGTTATTTGAATGTAATGTTCGAATATAGTTGAATTAGTGTCATCATCGAGGGTTTTCACGATTCTATAATTTTCCTAAACAATCTATACTATCTATGATTGCTATTATCGAGTCTTATTAATTTAAAAACGATCATTTTACAATTAATGTAATTTTAATTCTATAATCTAATATTTATATAATTTTAGTGGTTCCTGCTAATTTCTTTGACCATGGTTGGGATGGCCTATGATCCAAACGATAAATCATTGAAGGACATTTTACTACCAGAAGGACAATTCGAGGCGTTCTACTTAAAAGGATCGCAGGAGGAGGAACAAAACGCCGTGAGGCCACCGCATCTTCATGGCTCGTTTCATCAGTTCAAGAATCCTGCCCTGGTTGGCGCTCCAAACAGCGCGGCCTACGGTTATCGTTTTGATGGAAAGCGTCGTTTTAATTATAATTAAATGGACCTATCGAATTCTAAGATCGAAAATAACGCATGGAAATTATGCGCGGAGAATGTTTACAATGTTGAAAAGTACTCTCGTGCCATGAATCTATTAATGCCCAGTTGTATTATTCATTAGAGAGGTGCTATTTATTCAACTACGACGGCCAAGTTTCACGATTAGATCCTTTTGTTTCTCTCTAAAAAATATTACTTCATTAGCAAAACAGCGAAAGAAAAGTGTAAGTGGTTTAAAAGTATCAAAACTTTTACTAATTGAAAAAAATTTAATAATGTATTCAGAGTTTCTGAAAATATTATCGACTGCATGATCACGTTCTTTAACACCAGAACCGCTGATCTATAATGTATACCTAAATATAGTATACACACACATATATATATATACATATATGTATCAATATATACAATACATATATTCTGATTATATTTCTATCTGAATAGAATTTAATGTTAATAATGTTGAAAAGTAACTGTACGATTTTACTAATTGTAAAAACGAAAAGATTTGGAACCAGACATTTTGACCGGTTTATTAGTTCTAGTGTTAAATTGCAGTTATACTTTCAATTACTGAAAACGTAGAAATACAAAACGATGTATCAAACACGTGTTCTAGAGCTGTCTAACGATATGTAGGACGCACGATCTCGTTGACAATAAAAAGAACTTTATATATCTCGTGCTCTGTAATTTTCCAATTTTTACTTTCATAGAGACGTTCCGATGGACATTTTCCGAACATTTTTCTTCTTTTTTTTATTCCTTATGAACAAGAATTTCTCGAACATGTTTCACGTTTTCAACATCTTTCTTGCGCTCGTTTCGCCATCGTCTACACGTCAACGTGTTTTTAATGAACCTTCTTAATAGCCAGCTAACTAATAGCTTTTTTCTCCTCCCTGTACAAGTTCGATTCGCCACCAGTTATGGCGTCTTGGTGCAATTTCTTAGCCGGGACGGGTAGACCTCTGCTTTCGTTTCACGTCAATTAATTCAACGTGAGGAACAGGTTGGCTCTCGGAATGCATCCAGCTACTGCTTCGAAGTTTGGCCTCTCACCTTCACTGCTTTTGGACGAGAAACCAATGATATCAGTTACTTAAATAGAAACCTCATTGCCCATGCGTTTCATCCTCCAATTAAACTTGCTTTACATAGGAAAATTCACTTTCGTTGAGGCGACTATCTTTAGTGGTCGTAAGTAGGAGGCGATATCCATGGATTCCGAATGCACCAATGGCGTGCACATATATAAGCAGAAAAATTAAATCATACTTTATTATTAAGCATAGTAGACCCACGTACGGTTCGTGTGAGGATATTTTTTTGTAAGATAATATTCAGAAGGTATCTTGTACTTTTCGTTAGGGAGTACGAATAGGAACACGTGCACTTCATTTCAATAATTTCTTCTATCGCATGCCCCTTTTATAGTGCGTGGCAGTACGTGTTTCTGTGAAAATTGCGAAAATGATTGAGAAATTTGACACAACATAGTAAGTGAACTTTTTAAATATTTATAAATATAACTTTTTAAATATAGATTATTTATTACCTTTTTCATAACATAGTAAGATCATAATTTTTCATAAGACATAATAGTTCCCTAGTACTGTTTAACTCCTAAATGACGGCAACCGTGTATGCAAGCTTCATTGCTGAACGGGTAGTATGTGCGTGATTGATTCGTCATAGGTAGTTTGCTGTAGTTCTCTATTACAGGTGATACATTTAAATCCGGTTTAAATAAAGAAATTCATTCTTCTAACTATCTAAGCCAAGAATAAAAATTACAAAATTTGTTCTAAAATATGAGACAAGTGGATAATTATTCTCCGAATTGCAGTTTGGAATCAAACGTCACTGGCTGTAAATATATTAATATGATTATTAACTGACAAATTGATTTCAACACGAAATAATTTAAAATAACTAAAATAATCTTCACCATAGAAATTCATTTTGTGTCTATGCATAAACCAACATCACGATTGACCCAAGAATATAGTTGGTGTCTTTCCTACCACTTTGGTATATGTAGTAGTACATCTCTGTTAATTTGATTAAATTTTCCTAATAAAATGCTATTCGATTAATCTTGGTATTGCATTTATCGAAACTCGATCGGCTTCAAATTTTACTAAATATGTGTATACTCCACATTCGAAATGTTGATTTTTATCCTATATGCTTCATGACTTCAAAGGAAGTAGTAGTGTGATGCGCACCAATTCCTCGTGACTCGACACGAAACAGGTAGGAATTTGTTGTACATCTTCTCAGTGTTTTTCTTTGTTTCTTTTTCTTTTTTCCATTGAAGAGAAAACCACCAGTTTCAACATCACGTACATACGCAAAACAATGTTGTCAAGTCCAGTTTAACAGCGTACAAGCGGGCTCCGGGGAAGCTTTAAAAGACGTTGCCAATGGACAGGCGTTCCCATAGTAGGATCGGTGAAGTGATCTAGTGGGACGTGGTACGATCAGAGACATGAGGATCGCGCGTGTGATCACGGTGAGTGAATTGGTATACGCGGTGAACGACGTGAGAAATATCGTATTGTAATTCTTTCAATTCTTTGGCTGAGGATTAATGAAAGATCGTGCGGAAGCTAGAAGAACGCACTTTGGTCCAAACAATTTTTATCCTTTTAAGTTTGCCATGAATAATCGTGACGTGCTTGTGATCCTTTGAACAAGTGGAGTTCCCATGTTATCTCTGTTTGTATTTCTATTTAATTGATGAAAAATTGAGAAAGTTATTAACGTTCCACATACTTGTATTTGGAGTCAGAAAATGAGAAGTTAACAGGTTTATGACTACTTTTCATGGTTGCAGGTCTACATTGCATTAATATCAACATTCCTTGGTGCAGAAACCGTGCGTTCAAAGAGGTAGGTTCCTGTTTTTTTTTCAGGCTTATATTCAATATTTCCATATTATATTTAAATGCTTCCACTGTAATTTAATTTTTGTTTTTGTTTTTTTAGTTTATATAGCAGTAGTCAACACAGAAATTTATATGCAAAGAATTAGATCCATTGCTTCTTTTTTCACGTATTTCTTTTAATTAAAACATTTTATTCTTCAAAAATTTCTGATGAGTGCAACTTGTCATTGTTTACCTAGTATAAAAAGTTCATGATGAGCTTCAGTCACAATTTCAGTAGAAAGGGTTACAGTATTCTTAACACTAAGCAAATGAGGTACTTGTTTTGAGTTCCATGATTATGGGGACTAGTAATTGTCATTAAGTACTTCCATATTTCATAAATATTAAATGAGGGATTATTTAAAAACCAATAAGAAAGTAAAAAAAGAAATAGGTAAATAAAATAATAAATCGTACCAAATTTTGTTTGAATACAGATGGCAGGAGCCGAAGGAGAATCTGCCGCAGCTGAAATCGGAAAATGAGACTGACCCTAGAAAGATAACGTTTACCACCTCTCAACCAGAAACATATCGACAGAAAGCATCCCCTAATCAACATAAAACACACTCGAATGTTTTCGTTGGTCCAAGTAAAAGATTTATCAAAATTCGTCCAGGTCGTTCGATGTCATCAGGACTTCGTGAGCCAATTCGGTTTAAAGGAAACCGACGTCGAAGGCAACTCCAACACTCTGGTGGCAAGACAGGTAACATAGGGCGATCATACGAACTGAACGAGAACTACATTGAAAATCAGCATATAGAGACCGTGCAGGGGCCAGCGGAAGCTTTCGAGGAAGGAGCCATTCGCATCGAGCCTGTCTATCGAGTGACGAAAAACAAGAACATCTTTGACTCGATCGTGGACATAATTCGACGTGTGATCGATCCTCCAAAATCCATGGGTCCTCTCATTGGGCCATTTGATTTCCCAGGCGTGGGTGATAAAGTGTACATAAGACTCCTGGAACCAGTGAACTCAGATCATTTGGTGGTACGATTAATATCACACTTACCGGCTACCGAAATTGAGTCGACGTTCGATAAAAATATCCTTCCCTCCAGCGAAGTGATAGAGCACGCGGAGATCCCGTTGGTTGACCATGGATCTCTTCCTTTGTCAAACGATGGACTGATCGCAACCTACAATCATCATACCAATGTTCATCAGATGTCATCGGACAGTGCATTATCATCTAGTAATAATGTTATTAAAGTTTCAAAACCATCGACTAGCTTTGCTCAAAATAGTGAACACGCGAATAGGAACTCTATAGAGGGCCACAGAATGAGAACATACAAGTTAAACTTTAAGCAAGGCAATGTAAACGGTGTCCAGCAGATCATCAATCATCACAAGCAGAATCCTGCTTTGGTTGCAATAGTTAGGAACAACCATGCCAACCCTATTTCTCGTTTGGCGACAACTGATCGGGTAAACAGGACCCAAGGTAGCCTACATCCTCAGGCAAACGGTTTCCAAGACAGCTCCGAGTATATGAATCAGTTTTACCTACCAAGTGCTAATGAATCCAGTAACGAAAATTCGAAGCTGTTGACCGTCGATTTTCAGCAGTTACAGGATCCGAGGAACTTCTCTGTACCCATGCAAATGGTTTACCATAATCCTACTCCCTCGTTCAAAGCGTTTTCAAGTGACGAATTCCCAAATCCACAGCAAATGCCAAACTTCAACGATCAACAGGCTCCATCGAAACATATCTTCAACGAATCCAACGAAGAGCAACCAAAATACAGCATCCAGTTTGCTAGCAAGAATATGAGGTACCTCAATCTAGATGGAAGCGTTGAGCCAGCCATTAAGAAGGATAGCGAAGAGAGGTTCGAGCCAATGGAGCTGGGCCCTATTTTCTCAAAGGTACCTAGATCAGCTGATCATCATTGGAAAGCAATTGAATCGTCGGCGAATAAGCAGAGCCACATGGGCTTACAAAAAAGGAACGACGACAACGGTGACGCGTTCTTAAGGTCGTTTCGGAAGTCAGTCGATGACAGGATGAATTATTCACTAGGCACAGTAGCGAATAAGACAGTAATAAGGTCCGGGAAGCAAGGGTCGAAGTGTTGTTCGCAAGAAGAAGTGGAGAATAAGAGCACGAAAACTGGTTCCGATGAACAGCATAGAAGTGAGTCGGGTATAAATAATTCAGCTAGTAGCGTGAAATCCTCAACGAGAATCGGATCGGCGAACAGATCTCTGCTGTAGTTATTGTAGTCCGACGTGTAATTATTTTCAGGAGAAATTCGACGAGGAAGATTATGTTTGAGACAATTATGTCTGAGTACATAAGTTTTCAATTAATCTTTAGTCTTCCGTTGTAATTGTATCATTAACGATGAAGTGCATTCTTGATCATTTCAATTTATGTACGTTTGTTACGTTTCCTCTGTTAATATATGTTAAGATGTTTTACGATGTTCACATATAAATCCATTACTGATATCTCTTATCTAATAAATCGTTATCAGATCATCAATTTGGTGCTGTTTCATGCTTATTTTCATTCGTTGATTTTAAGAATCATTCTACTGTTCGAGATAATTGCTGGATCATGTTCTTTTGCATAGGTATGGAGCACGATGTATGAATGTTCTCAATATGAACAGTATTTTTGTTAGCCCGATTTATTTGGAACGTGAAATTCTTCAAATATTGAATATACGCTGAATTAACGTCGTTTAAAGTGGCGATGCTCTGATTGTCTTAAACAGTGCATCCGTTTATAGTTGAATTCTTTCCAGAAGCGTGTAGAATTTATAAAAAGGCAAATGTAGGAAGAGCCAATTTATTTTAGAAATGAATATACCACAAGTATCCCAAGAACTTTAACATGCTTATCGTTGTATGAAGATCATAAGAATCATTATAGTTTACACCTATTTCGTGTCATTTTTTTTAAACATTTATCATGTTTTCATGTCCTATTACAATTATCGTATGTTCAATTACGCGCCACATAAAAGTAAACTCGGTTCTTTTTTCCTACACTTTCCATTTCACGGGTAATTTTCACCATTAATTGATCAAATGTATATTTGAATCAATTAAAAGCTACCCTAACAGTTTTAATAGCCTATTTTTTCGATCATACAGCAGATAATCCTAAACGAATGTTTTGTGCGTAACATTATCCATAAGATTACACGCAAAGGACGATAGAAAGCGAAACTTTCTTTATCTAATTTGGCCATGATGGATCAATGAATCGGCAGATTCTTTAAAATTACTTTCTTCATATATGCATGCAATATTGTACGTTGATCCCAGACTTTTATTTAAATATTCATTAGATATCGTAATATTTGCTGATGAGAAACTAGAAAATCGAAAGTAAATCGTCGAAGACCGGCTTTGTCGTGACTCATTTAATTCAAAGCTGAAAATGAAGTAAGATTAATGTGTTTACGTCGGAGAGTCACGAAGAATGCTCAATTAAGGTCTCTTTCACTCGTATGCTAATTGTTTCGCTTGCATACGTAATTAGCACATTATTCCTGTACTCAAGTAATGTGTATCATTTTCCTTTCTCTATACTGTTCATTTGTTTACATAAAATTCTCAAATATTTCCAAAACACTCAAAATTCTTGAAATATTTAATTATTAAGGTATTTGAATAGCAATTCGAGTGAGACAAATTCGAGATCCAGTTAATTAAGGCATTCAATAATGCCTTGAATAGTTGTTTAAACTTAAGACAGCTACAATATATGTACAAGTTGTACATTCTTCTAGTTACTTTCTATTCTAGTTAACGATACCTACTCCTTGAATAGATACGTGCGCGCCATGAATCCAACAAGTTGATCCACAGTTGGGCGCGCCTGAAGGAAGTATTGCGAGTGTCGTCGTTTCCTGAATGCAGTCAGTTCTTCGACCACATCTGAGCGGTTAGAAACTCTCTGGTCACTTGGAGAAAAGTTTTTATGTACATTTCGATAGTTATTTTATTCCATGCATGTGGTACTATCGTGTCTCGTGACGTGTGACTTACCATTGATTCGATGTTTCGATATAATTTTCGAAATTTATAATAACGACTCGTTATACAAAAATTATTAAAATAATTAGAAACAAAGTCCTTGATATCTACATCAATGAAGATACCATGAATCACGCAAGGTCTCTGTTATAAATTTCTGCCAATTTTCATCTCGTTGATTCATCAGGGTCCAATTACGGAATTATTTTCAGCTTCAAGTAAATTTCAGTTTAATTTTTTCGGCGGTAGATTGTTGATAAATTACACGTGTTCTGAAGAGTTGACAGGTAAAACGTGAGAAGAGTTCTCAATTAATTTGATAGAAAATTACAGTGATGACAGATAGCAAATCGTAAATATGGGGAATCATATTGAATTAAACATTACGATGTGTGTCGCGTGCCGAACGCAGGAGGTGTGTTGATCGTTTGAGGTTAGAAATTCATATCACGTGGCACGCATAATGGTAAGTACAAACGGCAATGCTTTGGTGGAAAGCAGAAAAGTGAAAAGATACACGTCGAAGCACAGTTGCTGGGATCCCTGCACACTGGGCGGAGTTTCTTGGAATACTTTATGGAAACGGATTCGCCTCGCTAATTTCAGCTGCATGTATATAAACCTTAGATTTGTTGCAGTCATGCGCAGAAAGTGTCCGCTTCTTAAAGCGTGTTTTAGCGGGTAAATCAGTTCACCAGCACCGACAGAACAACCCGTTTTATCATCTCTTCAGAATGAGAGGGAAGCTTCTGGTACAAGATGAAAGATTACAATTTTTAAATAATAAAATATTTTTTTCATAATGTTTTAATAAAATGTCTTTTTTCTTGTTTTAGTGTGTTGTTGCTTTATTAGCATTGTTCATGTTATTGCAAGAATCAGCTCAATCGTGAGTATTTAATATAATATTAATGTTTAGAATATGATAAATAACATCTAATATAATTCTAAATTTTGTATCGTTATTTATATTTTTTTATTGTATATTAATTAAAAGTTTTTTATTGATAATGATAGGAAGGTGATCATCCATGTACCTTACCAAGTGAAGAACGTGAAGCATACGCACACAATCTACAAAATAATACCTCATTATCGCGAAGATAAGTCGGAGGACCTAGAAGAAGACGATAAATATGAAACTTATTAGAAATAATTATACATAGTAGACAGTATAGTAAACAAGTAGAAGTAAATTGCAACCCAACGAATAGTTAATAGAATTCATAAGTGATATTCCAACAGTATTCCATGTAATGAGCTTATTTAAAGAATAAATGGTAATATTTTCAGTAAAATTAAAATAAACCATTTTCTGTAAACTTTCACATTGTAAAATTTACCAACTTCCTTGCATATGAGAAAAGGAGTTCAAGATTGAACATTCGAATAATATAAAGACATTTAAATAAGAAAGATCCATAAGATAAGAAATTGTCAATAAAGATATTTGTTAACTAACATGTCCTTCTTCGCTACTTTCTATCACAAATTAAAAAATGTTTAGCAAATAAGTAAAAAGGTCTAACGACAATTTTATTTGACAAAAAGTGTCGGAGCGATCGCAATGCTATCACAAGCATCAATAACCACGTTTTTTTTGCTATAAATCCTGGTTTCCGGCGCGACAATGAACTTCGTCGATGACGTTGACACGTTTCCCCAGGGCGTGTCATTCGAAGCGGATTGGCAGACAGAGCATATCTTGCCAAAGCGGCGAAAGTGTTTGATCGTCCGTAAAATTACGATTATAGTTCCGCGGTTCCATGGTACTCGTTATGATAGTGGGCGAAATATAAAGGAGGAGCATCCTCGGCGATGTCAAACGACATTGAACCACTGAACCTGACGTTTGACATTGTTCTCTTTGGAAGCCATGGTAATGTGATTACAATAATGTTCGATGAAGAATCTTTTACATATCCTCCTATTCAGCTTCTCAAATTTTGAAATTAACTATATCGTATTAGAATACTATAATTCTTAAGTTAGATCTAGAGTACAATATTTCATTTTAATTTTTACTTTATCCTTCCAGTACTATCTAAGCTACTGGAACAGGTGCACATAGTTAATATAAAAGTAGTATGACTTTAATATTCGCTTTGCTTCTTGTTTCCTTGTTTTTCCAGGCAATCCACAACTTTCTATGCTTCCTTCTTCTAAATCAATTCCTGATGTACGGTGTGTTCTCCAAGCAGTAAGTAACAATGAAAGTAATTCTACCAGATCTTGTAAAATTCATACTTATTGCTCGACATCTGAATCGCATTGATAGCGTATTCCGCTTTCTCTGATGAAAACGAACGTCTATCCCAAGCCAGATACTCTTGTTTTCGCTCGCAGCAGCCGCACTCACTTCCTTTCGCTTATTTGCAGCGTGCACCTGAAAATCCTCGTGCCGGATGTGGTCAATCGCCACACTCACACGAGGACCATTCTTCTTCATCTTCATATGCCAGCACCGAAGAAGCCCAAAACTCACAAGAAGCACGAGTACCATTCAACAAGAAGCTCCTGGAAGTACGGATACCAACAAGATTACAAGGACGATCACGGTGATCTTGAATTGGATCACGAGAACCACCAGAAAGATTACGGCGAAACACTGACCGTGAAATCCAAGAATCACAAGCAACATCGACAAAAGCATTTTCCTGTGTACGACTATTCCAAGGACTCTTATCTTCCGCCATCCTATGTGGAGGATAACGACTTGGACCAGAAGAATCGTGGTCAAGATGAGTACACTTACGCAGTTCATGAAGATATTAACGATGTACCTCCCAACACTGAGTCTATTTCTTACAATTACGAGGAAGGTTACAAGAAGGGCTTGGAAACGGAAACAGGGCATATTCGAGAGGACCAACTGCACAAGTTTCACGAAGATCAGCACGAAGAGCAGGGAGAGACTGAGAACAAGGGATTCAAAGAGGATTTTGAGACAAAAACTGACGCAGGGAGATATCTGGTAGATGACGTGGAGTATGAGAACACTAGGGACAAACGTGATCACAGGCGAAGATCTAAGAGGATCTATAAAGCGTAGGACCTTCGTAGTATTCGTTAAATGTACAGTCTTTATGTATACATTTGCAAATACGTTTTCGGTCATTGTAATTTTCGTTGTAAAGTGTAGTAAATAAATAACATAAGGAAATAAGACAGCAGTATAGCGAGTTTTCAGGTACACACGCAATTTAATCAACTTTCTCGCGACATAATTATACATTGATCATTCGAGTCGCAATAAACAATAGCGGCAACAAGTAAAACAATATTACAAACAAACGAATAACAATATTTACATTAACAATACGAACGATGTGACAACAGATTGATGAGAGACTAGGACGAGAGGTAAGAGGCAGGGTGATAAAAACTCGATCGACACTCCCCGAGAAACACCAGTCAAGAAATAAAAAAGAAGGGCAATTAAAGAGCGAAGATAATGTATCTCTTCAGAACGATCTCCCTTAAATGTGAAGGTGAAAGTGTCGTGCGATGGGGGGTGCTTGCAGGTTCCTTGAAGCGCGACGACTCCAGTTCTTCGATACCTTTCAAGAGGAGATTCTCGAAAACCGAAACTCCTCTCTGTTTCAAGTTTCCGTGTTCGACTCGTTCCACGTTCCATTTTCAAAACGAACGAAAAGCGTCACCAGTAGCAGGCAACTGATTAGAGCTAAACAAAATCTTAACGAAAAATTCCTGTTCCTCCAACGAGACGAAACAGAACAAAATTCGAGTCAAGAACGCGCTTCGAACAAACCAATCGAAACTTTGCGAAGAAGACTACCATACTCCTCCCAACAATGACGCAAACCACGCATTAATGACCGCCCCAGTCTTCGTGGCCACCGCCACTGAGGCCTCCTCCTCCGTATCCTCCACCTCCAATACTGCCTCCGTGGCCTCCAAATCCACCTCCACCGTATCCTCCGCCAATGTCGCCACCGCTATACTCGATGTGGCCACCGCCACCACCGCCACCACCGCCGCCGCCGCCGCTGTACTCGATGTGACCGCCGCCGAGGTCACCACCGCCACCCAAATCGTGACCACCGCCGCCGCCGCCTCCAAAATCACCACCGAAACCGCCGTGACCTCCCAAGTCTATGGGATGACCGACGGTATATCCCAGTACCTCGTACTTGTCGCCACCTCCACCACCGTGGTGGATGTGCTTCGTGATCGTATGCGTATGATGAACGGTCTTGATCTTGTAGGGTACGTGGATCACCACATGGTCGCTGGAAAAATTTTTTGGGTCATTAGGTGTGTCTACATTTAGGTCGAAATTGAATAGTTCTTGTGAAAATGTCAATTCTCCGCGTTTAGATTTAATGGTGATACTTAAAATACGACAATTTATACCGTTGATTTCCAATCAACTTCTGTTGTAATTTTATAGTACCAATATCGAAAGTTATAGAAAGAGTAAATAGAACTTACTCGACGTCAATTAAAAGAAACAAGCTATAGGTAATAAGCGTTAGTGTTTGTTCAAAGATTAATTATCATTTGATTAGTCTGACTCGTTGATTGCTACTTTCAATGCAACAACGACACGGATGATTGTGCGCGTAATGATTCGGAAATACTTCCTGAATCGTGGAACAAGGAGAAATGAATTTTTTCAGTTGGTCTCGTTTATCCTTAGCATTCGATGGTTCTCGAGGAAAATTGTCCATCGATAAGCAAAGTGGAGAAAGTCGCCAAGTCGAGTCACGGTTCGTTAAACGTATTCTGATTTATAGTTCTGAACGCTTAAACTTCCGAGTGACTGTAGCATAGTCTGATATATAGCGTTTGTGCGCCATATTGAAGGTAAAAGGAACTTACTGTCCTCCGCTGTGTCCTGCTGAGACTACGTTGAGCAAAGAGGCAACCAAAAAGACGGTCTGAAAAAATAATATCAAACTGAAAAATACTGTATTTTATGTAGGGATTTTAGAATATTGTTATAAATATTGTAATATTATTGTGCATGAATTTCGAGACTTTGCAAGTCGAGAGAAATTTGAGATAATTCAGGTTACTACAAATGTCTCCTGAGAATGTTCTATTAGATGACTATACTTGCATGTAGAAACTTCGACTTATCTAGAGTGATGTAGCAATTTGTAGCATGTGACACTTTTCAGTACCAATGTCGAGCTCTGAAACTCCTAGTTGAGAAGTGCCATAAATAATCTTAATTTTATAACAGTGATATAAAAAAGTTTATCTTAAATTAGACGTAAAATAAAATAATTTTTTATGAGCTTTCGCTCCTTTTACAAAAACCCTTAGGAATCTTCAACAAAAGAAATAATCAAACGTAGCTCCGACTCGACCGATCTTACCCCAATTTCCAATCCTGTTGTCTCCAAAAATGAGGATTTTAAATTCCACTGGAGTCCTCCCTAGGAGTTAACTTACCGCGAGCTGGGTCATCATGTTGGATCCTCGAGTATCCGTTTCGTTCGCTTAACCGTAATAAGACCAATTCTGGAGAAGATTGAGAAGAGGAAGAAGAAGTATAAACGTAAATATAGGACGGAGTCGAACGTCGAAGGAGCCAACTACCGGTTCCTCCTTCACGATACAGTTGGCGGTTTCAGCCGCGGTTTTGATCTGCTGTCGGTTGTGCACACGCTCGCCGCTTTTATACATGTACGTGATTGGAGTTGGATAAGAATGAAAGGGAATCTTTTGCAGCCGTAAGCCGGTGCACGTGAAAGGAGCGGGCTAATAGAGAAGACGTTGCAAAAAGCGGAGGACCAGCGCGGCCCCTCCACAGTAGTCTACCCTTCACCTCGATCTATCGTTTTGTTCATTTCCTCTTTTTCATAGCAGCTAGACGTCTCGATCCGTCTTGATCTATACCAAACATCCACCTCTCCCCTCGCCATCGTTTGCCGTCGCCACACTATGTTCTGTGGTCTTTTTAATGAAAGCTGGACTTAGCCGGGTGAACGGCCAAGATCAAGATCAGCATCGTAATACGAGGTGGGTGCTCTCGTGGTTCGTTTCACTCGTCGCTTGCGTCTGGAAACGAGGAGATCGACGCCTGGGACCACGGCTCTGCCTGTCGCTTTTTACCAAGAGACGATCGTGAGCAGTCGATGCGGATAGTCACGATCAAACGAACTCGGCCGCGTTACGTGAATCAAACTCTTTTCGTGTTTTGAAGGTTTTTTAGGAATCGTTCTGTTTGGATTGGACAGGTTTTGTTTCCGTGGTTAGTTTTTCGGATGCTGAACCTTGAAGAAGTCACTAGGTAAGCTTTGGCTGAACTTTGGGATGAAGAATTTGGAGGTGCTTTCGAATGTCTTCCAGTTTTCTTCATTTTCTTTGGATTTCAAGATACCTTGACAAGTGTTCGATTTTTTCACAAGACATTTATCTGGAGAATTAGGTGTTTTGAAACTTCGTATCGATAAATGACATTTCTCTGTTTAGATTCACATTTTACTTACCTCAACCGATTTGTATCCATGAAGATATTTGGTGAACTTATTTTTACTTTAAAATGATACATCGCTAATGCATATATCGTGAGGTATCTCGTTTGCAAATGTGATATGATAAAAAAAAATTTTCTACAGAAGTTAGTTTCTAATCTGTAATTTAATTAAAAAGAATATATCTTAGATCGAAACTAGATTTTACCTTAATTGCACGTTATACACTATCACCATGAATGCGCATATCTAAGATCCAAGTCGATATCTATTTGGACGATGTGTGTGTGTATGTATGTGACATTAATGTAAATTTCAGACATGAACTAGAAAATATGAAAACTTTGAAGTAATTTTCGTAATAATTCATAAATAAAACATACATAAATTTTCAAAATATAGAAATATATCGTGTACAAAAGCGATCTATTAGTATGTATCAGAAACAATGAACATGTTAGGTAAACTTGCATGAAGTATTCTCGCGTCACCAAAGTGAAACGTATACATCCATCACATTCAGAGTACCTTCCCAGTGGATCTATGGAATGCGGACAGGGTCAGCGAACCATCCACAACTATAATGCAATTGCTCGTGATAATCTCTGCTCATTATGGCCATCGTTTCACTCGCTGATCGATAGATAAATTTGATCCTTCTAGATTCTCTCGCAGTTATCATATTATATGCAAGTATCAGCCTGCAATTAATCGCAGTTAAAATCCTGTTTTCCTATTTGCATTAATTCTTGAAAGTTGTACATTCTTGTCCAATACTTTGATAATTCAATCATGTCATTAACCTCACAACGCTAAATTTATTTTATCTTATCTACTACGAGTGCGTGACCGACAATCGTTAACACTTTAATTAACATAGGATCTGACATTGAAAGGTACTTTCCATGCATTTACATAACAAGAATCGAATAATTAAACCTCGATCATTAATTTCTTTTCTTGAGTATTTCGTTTCCGGTGAAATGAGAGGTCGAGTTTAACCTAAAAAGGAAGAATTAACTTATTACGATTGTCGATATTTTATAATAATAGTTTATCTTTTCGATGACACGTTGCATTATTATAAATAGACATTTCATTATATGTACCTACTTGTTTGAATTAAAATAAACTTAAGTTAAACATTTTCTTGTAGAAATTTTGAATATTGTAATTACAGAAGTTTCTGATCGATAAGTTACCCAGCTGACAGGTTAAAAAATTGTAGACGCCCTCTACTAGGTAAAACGGAAATTATAGAAAGTTGTCGGTCCTGTTCTATGTGTTTCCTTCCTACATAGCTACTTTGTTGCTCATAGGATACAACAGATTGCACGCGATGATTGCATACTTTAGCTGAGCGAGTTGACGAGAGAGGCATATAGCAGGTGTCATCGTAAATTATCGAGCAGGAGCTGCGATGCCTTTCGAAACGTTACGTGGACGTATGTCACGTCGCGTCGTAGTACTATTACGGTAGTAATTTAGCTGGTATCCGTTATAAACTTGATCTTAAACTTGATCCAGAATAGAGTTAATGCGTATTGCGTACTTTCTGGAAGCTAGCGTGTACAATCGACAGAATTGACAGAGTGAGGTTATATAAAAACAATCAGGTGTTTATGTTTACATTGATTTACATTTATTTACATTAATTTATGAATTTTAATTTATCTTTACCTTTTATGTTACTTACCAAAATAATGCAGAAGTAATAAAATGAATTAAAATGGAATATCCAGCATTCAAATTATTCGACATGATTATACGTTCAGAAATCTTGAACACGTGGATATGCTTCCCGACAAGAATTATTTCACATTATAGAAATAATAAAAGATGTAAAATAAATGTAATATTCTCGTAACCCGTAAGTTCTATATTTTCTTTTCTATTAAATCACAAAATTGCTTTAGTTCTGTTGTTTACAAATTTGTTCAGCTGTGTTGTATTACATTCTGTTCATATAGTAAATTAATTATTTTTTTTCAGGATGAAAATGTCCATTCTCAATAATACTTCTATCATTTTCTGAACACTACTTATTATACATATTGTTAAATGGAAAAAAACATGTAATTCCAGCAACAAAATATTTGTATTTGGAAATTGGAAAATTCCACTGCAAGAATCCAGAAACTTAAAATTTTTCTTATTTTTCACGAAAGAATCTACGATCGTAAATCTCCAAGAAAACGAAAGCAAGTAAATACATCGCCAGAGAAATGGTAGTTTCTTCGAGCGATGGCGTCGTTTCACCTAGCATAGTCGTAGTATTCCCTTTCACGAAACCGATCCATTCGATCGTCCAAGAGGATCCAGAAGGAGGATCCATAGAAATCGTAGCTGTAAGTTGATCTGTCTGTTTGCTCTGGGATCGCGTGCAGTGTACGCCAGACGATAGGAGAAAGGGAAACTGATCGCCTTGCCTCTGTAGGATGTCCACACTTGGCCAGACCGAATCGTGCGCTGCGTGCATTCCAACGGGAGGCAGAGCGAAAACAAAAACGAACAACAAGCGTTATCCTTTTTTCTCGCGGCTCGCGGGACCGTAACAGTGAACTCTCTACTTAAGGAATTCCATTCGAGATAGCGAGGTTAAGGAATTGTTTATGAGACGTTCTATAAAGCTAGGCGAATTTGATCTCATATAATCGTACCTTGATTGTGGTTGGTTTGATGTTCCATGAGATGGTATTACGATATATTGATGATGCTATTATGATATCGACACGTTTCGGTTGAAATAATGCAATGATTTAGAGATGTATAAGCATGACCAATGAATGATGCAAGGTGGTGGAGAGCATTTGCTTGTTTCAGAAGAATTGGTACGATTTACATTTATGACAATGAAATTAAAACTTGACCTATTAATTAATTTCTTTATTCATGTTTTATAGAATATTACAATTTTATAAATTATAGAAGATGATAGAGAAAAGGTGTTCAACACTTGGAAGACATACAGGATTAGTTAGAAAAAATATATTTAATAATTTTGTTATCCTAAACTGTCATGGTGAGTATTATAAATTTTCTGAGTAGAGCGATTATACTATTCTGCAATGATTACTCTATATAGACATTTGTTTTAAACAGGTTCTGTATGTAGATAATCCAGAGAAAGTGTAAAGTCTCATTTGAGAACTCTGAACAGTATAATGGTAAGTAATGACAGTACAAGGAAGAGAATTATAACGGTACGTAGAATCGTCACGAAGTCAGATCCATGAAACAATCACCCCAATTTTCCTTCCGTTTCCTACTGACTTTTTACTGTTATTGTATTTACTTTTATGGTTATTACTACCTACAAGCAGACGCCTTAAGAGCTATATGGTATTCTAGGAGGCAGTTTATGACCATTATCTCTGCAATTCAATAGGACAATTAGTTATATCTGTCACCATAAGATAAACCAAGTTATCTATTTTATACGACTTTCGAAAGCGAAAAGCTAGACACCCTAAACTACTCATTAAAGATTTTCTCTGGAAATCCATCGAATTAATCAAGAACTCGTTCCAGTCTGCAGACAAAACTTCCCTCGATATTTATCGGATTACAGGAGGAAAGAAAATCGAAATATTCGAGTTACAAGAATGTACATTCAGCTCGGAACTTCCTTCTTCCTCCTATTTCCGTTTTCCTTGACGTAATAAACTGTGAGTAGGCAAAGTTCGCGTGAAACCTTCGAGTAATAATATGCTTGCTCTTCAACGATGTGAAACCAGGAAGTTCCCCCTCTGAGTCACGATTAGCTCCTTAAGCTGGTTTGCTACTTTTATTGCATTTCTAACGACCCACAGCGACTCCATCGTTTGTCGATAGCAATAGAAAGCGATAGGTTCGGTCTCGAGGACCATGATCCTCGATTCGCTGTTAGCCAGTCATTCGCAGCGATAAAATCTTTCTTCGAATGGAATTTTCAAAGATCAATCGTAATTTCGAATTGAGATCGTTGTAATATTCCACGATAATGCATTGCGTTCTTGTCGTATATTTTATAGCGAGGTGATTTCTTAGATTTCTCTGTTTCTCTCTGTACTCTCTCCGCGGAATTCGCATCTAGTTATGGAGCAACTTTGTAGGAATTCCTGTCGATGATTCTTCACTTTCGTGCTTATTAGATGATGCACTATCGCCACACACAAATTGCTCTCCTCTTCTTCTTTTATAATTAAGGTCGATGAACTCGTAACGTGAATCGTGTCGTCGAATCGTTATAAGCATATATATGGGAAAATCTTCTTTCCCTTGACTTTACAGATTTCAGTTATTTTAGTAGTAACAGGTTTTCTAATTTTCTCTTTCTTGCTTTTAAAAAGGTACATTGATACAGAAGATTGTTTTTTGCAGCAGTTTCTTTTGTGTTAATTATGTCGACTTTAATTAGGCTTATTTGATGAAGGTAACTTCTTCTTAGTCACATAAGTAACCATAGATCGTTATAACAAATTGCAAGTTTTATTGAGATAAATAATTGAGGGTACTTGCTACCTAATCTAACATTCGCCATATTCTATTCGAAAAGCTAGTAGGAAAACATGAAAAATCTTTAGTATTGTGGAGAAAGTTGCTAGAGATATATTCGCTCCAAAAAGATACAAAATAGATAAAACGTAGAAAACGTATATTGCGATTTCATATTCTGAAGGAAAACCAGACAAAATTACAGCAATAGAACTGAAATGAACAAAAACAGTGGTATATAATATTAATTGACATTTCTGAATTGTACCTATTACAGGATTTTAAGAAATGATATGGAAAACCAAAAGTAACAGCTACATTGTAAGCAGAGTAATTTGGTATAAATACAAATAGAAAATATCATTGTTCTTAGCTACAATGGAGATACATTTTATTCGAATAAATTGCTGCTAGGAATAAATATAGGACACTTTACATCATCGTGACATCTTATTTACGTCACTGTTTACGCCATTCAATCTAATTAATTAGAGATCATTTGTTGAGAGTAAGCTCTATAGTAGGTTTCTATGAAGATTCAAGGTTGAATGCTCCATAAAGATTTTACTCAGGCTCACAATTATCGTTCTCGCTTCATTCGAGGAGACCGGAGGAATCTCGTGGCAGAGTGTTAGAAAGTAATTGTTTACGATATTAGATTCTCTAAATGCACTTAACTTTATCCTTAAGCTTCCACTCTTAACAGTACTATCTGACATCGATAAATACTTATCATGCGATTCAGAATGTACATATTAAGATTATTTGAGCAAATCTTCAAAAACTATTCTGCATTATCTATCGTCTATTATTTAGTATTCGATCTTGAATTTTAAAACAGAAATAATATACAGACTATTAGTTTCAGCATAAATCCAATGTCATGACAGAAATCTCTATGATTTTACACCAGCGTAATATCTCCCTCGAGATTCGGTCTGGTTTGCATATGTGGACCACAACGGCGTAAATATGAAGCCGGGGTATATACAATATGCATGTAAAAGAAGAAACGAATTCAGGGAAAAGCTCGTTTCTAACAGGATCGAAGGAAGAACTCGCAAACGACCGATGATATTTCATCCATCACATGTCAAACGATCAAGCGACAGGCCACCAATTCCTCGAACATGCGAAGTCTCTTTTTTCTCATCTTTTCTTTTCGCTTTGATTAGTATAGGGATGAACTAGTTCAATTATCTAGAGTGTAGGAGTGAATGTACGTTGTTAGAAATACGATAGGGCATCGAAAGTAGGTGATTGATAGCTTCTGAGAGGGACTTTTAATGTAAATTCAAGAAACTTAATGTTTCTAACGAATGTTCATCATTAGTTTACTGATTTTATTTGTCACTTTCATAATTCTGTGATTGTTTATGTATTATCATATTGCCATAACTCAAAATTCTATCATGCCTTGTAAAATATTCAAAAATGGTTCTTCTTGTATGATCTCTTTATATTAAATTATTACTGAGAACATTTAAAACTGATCACTGAAATTTTTTCTAGCTTCATCCCTCGTCAGGCTCAACCACTGACCCATTTCTCTCAAAACGGCGTCAACAGAAACTTCTACAACCTAACCAGTTCTCATGTAAACCACCATTAACCCTGCCAACCATGCACGAAGTTCAAGGCTATCAAGTACCGATCTTCCCACGTTCTTGTACCCGCAAGTATCTCACCGCGACCCTCCATCGCTCTGACTATCTCTTATACCTGTTCCTAGGTAACTAATATCTAGAACACTGGTCTCGGTCTTGTTGGTCGCGTTTTGGAAAGCACGACGTCGACGGGGCGCGGTCCCGCGAACTTGGCTTGCGGAGGAACGTTCCACTCGCATCTCAGGATCGGGTGAACGCCTAGGAGAAGAAAGTGTCGATTTCCCCCGAAACAAAAATTACCGTCTCGCGAGCTGGTGTGCTTGCCTGTCCGTTTCGTATCAGCACGCCACGGTCTCGCCGCCAATCCGTTTCCATCGTCGCAGAGATTTCAGCCAGACGAGCGATCTCTTTCCAGGGCTGGGGCTAACCGGTGGGAGGCAGCCATTCGTCCAGCCGCGATTATGTTCTTTTTATCTTGTATAAAAGAGAACAGTCCTGCACGAGTCGCCCGCAATTTGTCCGCACCGGTTGTAGCATACAGAACACATCTGGGTTTCGGTGCGACCGGTAGCAAGGATCAAGACATCACCGCGACCATTTGTACGCCTTCTTCCCTGACGTTGGGATTTAGTCGACGCGGTTACTGATCGAGCATTGAGTTTCCAAGAGTCAGCGAGAAATTCGCAGCATGCGTTATTCGGTAAGTTTGGTTGAGTTTCGTTGTTGCTGGAAAGAATTTGGGTGTGGAGTTGATGTAAGTGGTTCATATAAGAAGGAGAGTTTCGGGTAGGTTGTAGGAACATTTTAGGGCTATATGGAATGCTACTTTACTCGCTACATCATAGTACAATTTGAGTTGTTGGTAGAATATTTTTATTACATACGTTAATACTATATTTAAGAGTTTAGATAAAACAGTATAGTTTTGAGTTATGAAATCTAGATTGATGCTTTTTATTCATGATGGGATCGTGACTTAATAAATAGTGCAGATAGTGGGAATCACTTTGAGCTATTTGGTATAATTATTAACTTGTAAATAGGTTATATTATCGAACGATTATCATCGTCTATATCTACTTCCGTACTTTTACTGAAGCGTTGGGTTTTATTATTACACGCTCGATGGCTCGTTGATCGCACGATTGAACAGGTATTGCTTCCTGTTTGCGGAACAGGTTTATAAGACTAACAGTACGGGTCTTTAATGTTGGATTATCAGAATCATTAGTACATGCATTAATCACTAATAGTTTTACTTAAACTAGAACTCCAACTTTATTTAGATTATAGATTAAGAAAATTGTCAAAAATGTACTGTCTATTGATAAGCCATAAATTCGATTGGAAGTGTCTACGAGCCACTGCTTGTAAACCACACCAAAAAGTAACATTGGAATTTTATTGACTCACGTGTAACTTGTTCCATTCATTAACTTTTAATAAATGTTCACAGGCATTCTGCATCTTGCTGCTGGTGGTCAGCGAGCCTCTACTCATATACGCGTAAGTATCCTTACAAGAATAATTCTTCTTACCAGACCGTGTCAGACTTTTTTCTGTAACGCGATACTATTAACAAGCTTTCGATAAACCACGATTTCGCGTAACTAGAGATCGTTCATGTTATCAGACACTTTGTTCCTTTCACAGAAACAAGGTGGTGTTGGTGATTCCGCAACAGACGAGGCGTAGTATGGGGCCATCTTGGAGACCTACACCTACACGTTACAGAAAATCATCCCAAGCTAGTGAGGTTTATTATCACAGGTACCCTGGTTCTTCAGGACACTATCACCCAAAGAAAGCTTTGTATGGAAACCCACCGTTTCCTCATGGGGGTGATGACTTCGATCAAGGCTATGAGCATGTGAACCATGTGCACGTTCCTTACGGTAAAGGCATCAGCCATGCGATTTCATTCGGGAAAGGTTATGTCCCTTATGATCAACTCAAAGGCACCTTCTCCTTTGGTCGTGAAAGGTGAGAAAAATGTTATTAAAATTGGGGTAAAATAAGAGGATGATTAGGTTCATTTCGTAAGCATACATTTGAGTGTCGAAAGCATGAAAGTATTGGGAGATTTATGATGCGAATCTATGTCTGCATTCCTGACTTAACATTATGGATTGAGCGTTGAGAAAAATGCATCACATGGAAAGGATCAATGTCCTAGTTTGTGGAATTCTTTTATACACGACGAGATGATGAAACTGAGTTCTTTATAATCGATTTATATTTCAAATTAATTCAGATCTTTTAATGATTATCTGTTGTGGAAGAGTAAGAGAAAGTTATTCTGTAATTACTTTAAATTTTATTACAACGCATTAATTTGCGTTATAAATTGTTGATAGTATTAACATTATAAATTAATTTTTTTAATATTCAGATATTAAGACGTGTGAAGTATTGCTTCCAATAGTATGATCAGTAGAATGACCAGGAGTGCCGTTACTGCTTCGTCTGACCACTGGCGGGCCATTCTACTGCGGCCACTGAAATAACCTCATTATCTGATCAGACTTATATATTTCATTTATTCAATCATAGTGAACATTGCAATTACTTTACCATCATTAATATCCAACATTCCACTAAAAAGATCAATCTTGATTAAATGTTCTACCCTCAGACATATCTTCATCCCCATTACATTTATATAAGATTAAAATGTTAATTGAACAAAATTAATCATAATTTGATATTTAAAAATCTATTCTACCGTTATTCTCTAATTATCAAAATCGCCACAGGAACCCAAGCCCACAGGAGCAGAAACACTCATCGGAATCAGAATATCCAGCGACTCCATTCACATCATCTGATGCTGAGTATGCACCTACGGGACACTCGTACGAACAACCCTCTCGGCCTGAAACGTTTTTCCCTGACCCGGACAGTGCTCTGAACTACAATGAAAGGCGAAACGACTATAAAAAGTTCTATTCTCCTAGATCTATTGACAAGGACCAAGTTGCAAATAATCCAGTCGACCTCGGTCCAACCATAAACAAGGATCATATTCTCTTACTGCAGCAAAAAGGCACTGAACTGTACAAGAGCGTC